TACAAACTATCTGGCGTAGATGTTTGAAAATTGACAGGTGTGCAAGCTGCCCATCATCTTGATAATAAGACTATTCTGCTATTGGGTGTCACCGTTCACCTATTACACAACATAAAAGGTGCAAAGTGCATGAGGTGCAAGGTGCAAGTTCCATTCTGTATCCGAGGTTAATATTAGTTATCGTGATTATTCGTGGATTTGAGATATCTAGATTACAGAATCTATGTATATATGAGGTAAACCAAAGGAACTTACAGCCGTACCTCCAGAGCTGATTTTAAAGTTCAAACTCCAAGTTCCAAGTTCCAGTGCAATTTTAAAGTTCAAATAATATACAGTACGTACTACCTTTCAGAAGTACTCGAGACATTTTTATAACGTAGAACGTATGAGTTGACGTTGAAATATTAGGCAACGTTTAACAGCTGCTGATTTACCTTTAATAATTAATGTCGAAAATTAATCATAGCTATTAGAAGTGCAGTATTACGTACTAGTTCTATAAATATTGATTAAAAATTAAAGTACAAAAGTTTTGTATTAATATATACATAGTACTATAGTACTATATAGTACTATAAGCTGTACTTCCGATATTGATCCAAGTCGTCGATGTAATTTTTGCTTGATATCTTGATATAGCGATTCAATGATGGCCTTGCATGTGTAAGATCCTCATGAATATCTTCAATATAACCTGTACTTACCTCAAGCTATGGATCATCTTTCAGCCAGTTATATTGCAAGGCAAGTAAATATCTTGAATTGACTAGAGCTAATATATATAGGATGAACGAACACATGATGGTCGTCTAAGTGTTGTCGGCAAGCGATGATCTTAATTTTGGTCGATGGTATAGGGATAGTAGACTCAATGTTTGGATTACCCTAAACGTACAATATAGCTTATGAATCACAGTTTAATTAATCCATTTAATCCGAGTATAAGCTGAAGAGCATGAGCGTAATTGTATATCATCGATCGAGTCTTATTAATATTTATATAATTATCCGATGATTCTCGGGAGTTATAAGTTATAACTTATAATTTATATCAGCTACGTTTAATTCAAAATGCACCGATGTACTAGTAGCCTGTAGGACGTCTCGGTAAAATCTAAAAGAATTATGTACTACGTATTGGAGCCTAAAGACATCATTTTAAGTTTTTAAAATGTTATGATAGGCTAGGACTTAACTTCAATCATAAGAAAGTATCTTTATATCACATCTTATAAGTGGCCAATGGCTGCCTATTCCCGAGTCCCTACTCTTATCTCTGTTACCGTTAGATCGTTATGGGTTATAACTTATGGGTAGGTATGTAGTACGTAGTCTGTAGTACTTACTACTTATATTCCCTGGGCAGGCCCGGTTGAATAAGCCAACGAGCGTACGCCAAATCTCAACCCGAGATTTGGAAGTAAATTTTGTTTATTTCAATTCGTTCTTGAAATATCTAGATTCTAAGGTCTTGTGACAATATACTTCACAGTGCACACTAGTAACGATAAAAATACATCATATGTTAATCTTGAAAAAATAATTATATGATCTAGAGTTGACCTTAGAGCATTTCTGATCTTGAAAGATACAAAAAATGAATATAACACGATGGTTCTTTCATTTGGGTGACAAGGACTGGCGAGCTGTGCCTAAGAAGACTTCAGAACTTGTCCTTATAAACCGCTTGAAATATCCCCATATATATGTGCTAATATGATCTGATTTGTTGGTTTTAATTATCAAAAACTCTAGGCAGAACTCTACAAGCCAGGTATAAGCGGGAGAAAGTCATGAATATTGATCCTTCTAGTCTAACAATATTATAATTAATAGCTTTCAACTTCATGAACGTACTTCAAATTAACCGTTGAATCTTCGCAATTTTCTCCAGACTGGCGAAATCTTTAAATTTTATTTTTGCACGAGTTCAGTAGCTCGTAGCCTAAACAGAGCATCAACTCACATATAACTGCTTACCGGCCCTCACTGCTCAGAACTCAGTGCTCAATTTTCTCGATTACCCCAGTACTTAGGGTTTCTTTATAGGCTAGGTACGTAGGTGGGAGGTAAGAGCTAGCTGCTAGAGCCTATGAGTGTGATTCGAATGTATTTTAGGCACAGGTAACAGCTAATTCAGTTAGTTCATGAGCTGATTTTAGAGTAAAGCTAAAAACAGATCATACTACAAGCTTTATATATTCTGCCTAGTTCAACTCTTTTATATAGTAACACGTCGATGCTTAATTAATTTAAGCTAAAACTGACGGCTCCAATTTTAATATATATGAATTAAGTACTATAGCTAGCAGATATATATAAAATTTAAGATGGTTATAACTGCAGCACAACTTGAGCATATTCTCAGGCCGGTACGTTGTTAATCTATTTAGCAGCAGCTAGTAAATATTTAATTATAACGTAAAATTTCGATATAGGCTACAGCTACGACGTCTTGACTTTGAGCTCCATGCCCCGCATTGGAATTTGTGTACATATTAGCATGTAAAAGTCTATAGAGTCGACCATATATTTATGTGTATATATGTGTTTGTTTATTATTCCTCATGGCAAGTTGCAACTTGAAGTCCACTCAATTTTCTTGTCAACTAGACTTAATTCTGTTCAATTCACTAGTGGTCGTGGAGTTGTTGGCTCCGATGTTACGTACGTAGATCGCTTCATTAACAAGCTGGTAAGAGACCAGTAATTATTAAGAGTTAGTTGAATGATTCAGGTTATTAGCCGCTCATGATGTTTAAAGATCTTGGCCCCTGGGGCTTGAATCTTGATGCCTGTTAAGCGTTTTGAAAACAAAACAATGTTATTGGCGGCGTACCTATTGTAGTCTACGTGTGGAGAAATCTTGAAGCTGACCAACGTTCAACAAATTGAAATTACACCTATACACAACTTAGCTTTTATCCAATTCAAAGTTTCAAAACGTACATGTGTTTCCGATTTTACAAATCTGACAGCCGTACGTAGTACTACGTAGTACTTTTCGACGGAAAAACTCTAGTGGTCGTCAGGTACAATTCGAATTCAGTTTAATATATAGTACGTATTATAATATGACCAAAGCATAGGTAAACCTACTCGAGTACATTTATTGTGGTTGTGAATGTGTATCAATAGGCTAATTCTACCGTATACGACAAGTATAATGGACCATGGTATCACTCATCATTCCCTATAGAACTTACATGAATATCTATAGGCAAGAATCTGGAGAGCATCAAATTTTAATTTTAGCCTCTTGAAGTCTTGACTGGGATCGCGAAGTGCAGAAATACGTAGCTTTTTTCCTTTTTTCTTTCTTACAAGTTGCAACGTAATTACTAGACTCTAGAGGCTCCGTGAATTTTTCCAATCCTCGAGTACAGCGCTACAAGTTGCAAGCATTAATAGGTATCTAACTTATAAATCTATTTTCATGGGGAAATTCCTTGTAAACTGTTAATCAAAGTTATTCTGGATCCTGTTTCGTGTATAGCCTACCTATTGACGATCTTCATAACTAGTTTGAACTTCCAATCGATTCTATGGATAATGGTAGTCTGTTAGCGTAATTACGTTCCAATCAAAACTGTTTCAATTTTTGATCAACTCTATTGTGCAGAAGAAACAATAGATTTTATTGGGTGCAGAATCAGAATGGCTCAAATAAATCTCGATGAGTCCTAGACCTTTTTTCAAGTTAGCTTGATCTGTGGCTTTCTAGCAGCTACGTCATATATATATTATGTGAACTTTGAATATCTGGGTAGTGGGTAGTTATAAAAACTTATAAAGCTACTGGGCTGCTTCATACAGAAATTACTAATTTGTTGAGTTGTATAGTTGTACACCAGGGTCCAGGGCCGACTTAACGGCAAGCTCGCGGGTAAACCGCTAAATATCAAACGTCTAATTCTAGATGAGTAAACTGTAAGCCGTAAGCTGTTTACCACAGTATATCGATTTCGACCTCTTAAATAACCAGCTATCACACAAACGTCGACAGTGATTTCAGCATTTCAGCTGATCCATATCTGATTAAAGTAGATGGCATTTGAAATTAAGAAGATTCAGTCATTTTGATTATCAACTCGTCATCCTCTTCAAGTTGTAAAGCTCAATAATGGTGTTAGTGTATGGTATTTTTATTGAGATTTTGAGCTCATTCAAATTGTTCACTAGATTCGAGTCTCAACGTCTAAGTATATTCCACCTAACTTGTATCTTGTAACTTGTAACTTGTAACGTTGTCGGTAAATTATACGTAAAGAAACCGATGAAAAATTCGGATTTAATAATTTTATAATATGATTTTTAAAATCCGCTAAAAATTAAAATATTTTTGAGCGGTATATGCCGGTGAATTATTAGGTAAGCCGGATATTTAAGGATATTAATGATAGATTTGAAAAAGTATAGTTAATTAAATAGATAAATAAATATACTTTTTTTTTAATCAGAGCTACTCAGAATGATCCAATAATTATGTTCCATCTTTCATTTCTTCAAAATTCGATAAAAAAAATTTTGATTATTTTCTATTTTTCTCATTTTAAAGCAAAATTAAAATTATTAAGGTACACTTTTTTCTTGAAACTAAAAAATCCAAAAATTAAAAGTGGCTTTAAATGCTTAATTAGATAATTAGGTAAAAATAGAGCTGAAAGAAAGCCTGGTGATATATTTAAAAATACGAAATATAAATTATATTGACCTAATAATTGACAAACCATGGCATTTAAAAAAAGATTACATAAGTATTATATAATCACATGAAGTAAGTAGCATGAGCTCACACGACACATTAATAATTACATTTAATTCAATTATTATAGAGATATAAAAGTTTAAAACGAAGCCAGCTATTTACTAGATTATGTGAATGTCAAAGATAGCCTTCTCTATAATTCATATCGTATTACTATCGTTTACTTTAAACTTATTAATTAAATACTACAATATTAGCCATTTCAATTATTGAAGATGTATTTATTTAATTATGCATTTGGTTGGGTATTAGTATTCTCATTATTCTCACTTGGTTCTGCTTGTGATTGTGCTTGTGCTCGTGATGTTGTTTCCCCTTGACTGGATGATTGTGATACAGTGTTTGCTTCAGCTGATGGTGGACCATTACTCTCTGTATTTGCAGGACTCATGACATTATTTCTCAAATGTCTATTTCTCAGTCTTTCTTCAATCAAACGTCTTGATTCATCGTAAAAACTATTATCAAAATCATTTCTTGTTAATCCATCATTATCTAAATTAACCGTTTCAACACCGGTTTCAGTTCTTCTACTAGAAACTCCTGAAGAGAACAGACCTGGGAATCTTGGTTGACTCAATCCTCTGAGTATTGAGGCACTTAAAGGATCTCTTCTTGCTGGGGGACTTTCTGTGGTTGGAACTCTTGGTAATGATAATGTTGATAAAATAGAATTTGCAACAGCAGCCTCTGGGGTATCTGTATTGACTTGAGGCACTGCAGTAGCAGTAGCAGGGGTATTTGATGGTTCTTCTGGCCTTCTAACTAATGTGTTTGTTGATCTATCTAGTACAATAATCATTGGGTGGTCTCTGGATGTTGGGTTCAATAAAGACGCAATATTGGGTATATTAATTTGATCTGGTGGACCTCTTTCATTTGAACCTTCTTCCACAATTGCTTGACGACATAATGGACAAGTTGAGTTTGACTTCAGCCATTCGAAAATACAACTTCTCCCAAAATAATGGTCACACGGTAAAGCTAATGGAACATGCTTGTACTCTTCTTCTTTCTTTTCCTGATTTAAGGTTTCTCCTGTTGAAGCTGATGTTGATGGTATGGCTGTTTGATTAGCAGCTGTTTCATTGGATGTAATTGCAGGAGATGTAACGTTTTCAGTTCTCCTCACTTTTCTACCTGGTTCTTGTGATTCTTCAGCACCATCATCACTTGACCTACGTTTTCTCTTTCTTTGACCATTCAGATCTTCATCTTTGTCATCTTTGGTATCAATGTTTTCTTCTAAGCCCTTCCCATGTGAAATTTCATCTTCGTCATATTCATCATAACAAATTGCACATGATTTATCATGAACTTCACTTTTTTTTTTAATCTTTAATTTTTCAAAAGTCTCTTTCTTTATACCATTATTTCTTCTAATATTAGCAGCGATAGCACTTAACGCCAATGATGCTGCAAATTCAATAAGAGCGTTTAGTTGATTTTCATTTCTATTATTTGGGATATTTGGAACATTTAGCAACAATGAACCTGTTCTATCACCTCTTTGATTATCTTGAGCACCATTAGTAGCACCGGCACCCGTTTGTGGTCTGTTATTATCTCCATAAACATAACTAACAGAAACCAACATGTTTCTTTCTATGTGTTCTTCAGGAACTCTTTGTGTAGTATCATTACCAGCGGAAGAGATTCCAGGTCTAGAATCATCAGCGGTTGTAGAATCTTGATTATTATTTCCATTATTTGAAGCGTTTGCATCATTATTATCACGACTATGATCCCCTGCAGAGGCTGGTGCACCAGATGGACGATTTGGAGAACTTTGTTGTTGTTGTTGTTGTTGTTGACTTGATGGTGGTGTTTGGTTCGGAACAGTGTTTGTGGAATCTGAATTATTCAACAAGACATTTGGTAAATTTAATATGACATTCTCAGAATTATCCTCACCAAACCTGAAGATCACAAAGTTATTGGCTCTTCTGAAAGAAACAAAGATGTTAGTAATTTTTTTTTAGGGGTTTTTTCTGCTATGAAATACAACATACCTTTCCATCTGAAATGACTTTTCTTTCTATACTCAAAAGGGTTCACTGATAAGTCTGTAGAAAAGACAGGAAACGATCGTTCACAGCTACCAAAAAAGCTTGGAAATGAAATCTGCTTCTTCTAAAAGTATCCCTTTCAGCTTTTGGACAGAACTAAAGCGTATCTATAACCTATGTTGTGTTTTGTTGTTTGAATTCATAATCGTCAAGTTAGATTTGTAATATTTTCGATTTTGATTTTCTCAGCCAAATTAATTACATCACACTATGAAAATTATATAATCCAGTTTCACGAGTCTATATTTACTTACTACTACTACATAAACAAATCGTTTCACATAGCATATATTAAGTATTCCTGTAAATAAAATCATGATGGCGTAATATTAAAAATTGTTTGATGAATAGAAAAAATTCCACAAAGTGTTAAACATAGCAAAATTCCTGAAAAAAATCGTACCGAGAAGAAAATTAGCTGATTATCTTCACAAAACGACAACCAGTGCGGTAAGAACCATCATTGATGATAAGTAGAGCCAAATTTTGTTCTTGAAAGTATCATAGCTACCAGAAGATCCAGAGTTTGACCCAGAAGTGGAGCTATCAGTTGATCTTGCAATTTCAGTATTTGAAGTTGAAGTTCTTCTAATTGTACCTGATACAGAAGAAGCAAATCCTGAACTTCGAGAATAACCACCACTAGTTGAGCTTGATCTTCCTGTAGAGCGTAAAGTTATTGACCCTTCCAAGATACCACCAGTATAACCAAAAACATCAACGTTTGAAGTAACATCTTCACCAGATTCAAATAATTCACCAGTTGTAGTTGGATATATATCAGTACTCCAAGAAGATGAATATTCTGGAGCTTTGATTGCAGATGGAATAGAACTTTCAACAACTTCAATCTTTTCATCCTCAGTATATTTGATTTGTGCAATTGAAACTTCTTTATCTTCAAGATCAAAAACGACATATGCAGATCTTAAAAAACTTGAACCTAAAGTGATTGAATTATCATAACTATCTGTAACACCCAAAACACAAAGTGTACCAATCTTAACTCTAATCAACTGGTATAATGGCACACTTATTTTTTTACCTTGGAAATCAAATACCAAAAATCTTGACAAAGATTCTTCTAAAGTTGGACAAGTCATTGTGTAAAATCCATAATAAGCTGAATAAGAAGCACCAAGCGCCTCAATAACCTCATCCACAAATCTTGGTGGCAAATAAGTCATTGTTGTACCAGCATCAATAGTAGCCGGATATGCTGTTGTTGAAAAAGTTGTTTGATTCCCTTCAACATCAGTACCAACACCCGTTATAGTAACAACAAAGTATGAAACTGTATCAATACCGTAGTCTTCATATGGGTTTACCAATGGCAATGTTACCAAATCACCGTTATATTTAGCATGATCAATACCACCAAATAAAATTGACCCAGTAGATGAATTAAAAGAATCTGCATATAATGAGTAAACCGTCTTTTTGATTAACCCATCATTCTTTAGCCTTGATGGAAAGTTCTGATATGTATAATTATCACCACCGTCTAATCTTCTATTTGTACTTTCAGCTTCCTCAAAACCAAGACCCAAGACACCACCATCAAGATTTGCTTGTGAAGCAATACCAAAAGAAAAATTGTCTAGTTCAAAATCACTAATTTTCAATTTATCAGTGACCCATTCACCATTTGCAGTAGATCCTTCGGTATAACCAATTTGTAAAGGAGGAGCAGAACTATTTTTTTTGAGGGATTCAGATGCATCTTCATCAAAAGATCCATAAATACAATCATATGTAGCAGATGCATAAGGAACATAAGCACTTCCAGTTGATGTTCTTGTACCTGAAGCAAAACCAGCAGCACGACTTGCAGAAGGAAATGAACTTGAATCAGATTCTGCTCTTTTTTGAAAATTTATATCTTCAATGGCTCTTTTATTGTTTCTAGTTGATGATGAGCAATATGGATTTCCCTTCTTCAAAACCCAAGTATCTGAAGTACCAGTCCCTAATACCAATTGAAATTCTTGTTCTGGAGTACCAAAAGTTGCATTTATGGAAAAAAATGTCAACATATTTTGAAGCACAACTGGTGAAGTATCATTACCACCACCACCACCTTCAGCCCTTTTCAATAACCTTTTAACATGTGGATGATTGAAATCAGCATCTTTTGCATTGATATTGAAATTAAGTTTAGTGACACCGTCTATTTTTGAAGCTAGACAAACTTGTAAACACAAACCAATTGTGATAAGCACCTTGTTGATAAACATAGTTTCTCAATTTGTTGTAGTTGATGAATAAATGGAATCCATCATTGAGCACAGTAACAAAAGCTGAATATCACTCCCTTTTATATCATATCGCTTAAGCACAACTGAAAATAATTAATATCATGCACATGAGGACCTTGGACCTTGGACCCTGAATATGATAACTTGATATTCCTCAGAATAATAAAATAATTTTTTATCAGTCACTCTCAATCCAATTGTCTACAAAATGATCAAAAGGCAATCAATATTGACTTATGAGCCCAATGTATCACCGACGGCTTTGCTTCTTGAATCTTCACTTTGTCATTGTATAGCATTCTTCCTATCCATCCAATCAATCATCAACACCGGCATCATCATCTGGTTCACTAACGCGACAGAGTGACCACAATTGTTTACTCATTTCAAAATATCTCAACCGTGAACCGATCCAAAACCAAGATAATATCTTAAAATTCCAGCCAAAAGATCCACGTTCTTCAAATTGAACAATCAGATTTGGAAATGCGTACAATCGTAAAGTAAAATTATGAACAAAAATATTATTTAGATTTTATTTAATGACGTATTTTAATAAGAGCGATAATACAATTACACCCGAACACCACGTATAAGTGCTATACAAATTACAATATTAAGCCATCATCATCATTCTAAAAATTTTAATGTTCATCGTTCAATCACAAGCTATAATACACGAGAGCAATAATAATTAGAGAGTGACCAGCTCCAAATGATCATACACTACATTTAAGGTTCAAAATTGATATCCAGCTCATATATTATAATGTTTTGCACGTTTCAGTTACCTAACAAAATCAAGTTTACCATTGTAATTCAGCACCATCATAGTTCAAAAACTTACCGTTTTGTTCTTTAGTTAATGGATCAATGACAGTATCAATCAACCCTTTTGCACTTTCTTCTTGGGTAATTTTATCAAATGGTAAATTGTTCAATAGAGCAGAAAGTTCAGGTTTATATTCAACATATTCCTTTAAAACTTCTCTTCCACTTTCAGTGTCAACAAGACCTGGATGAGCAGCAACAACAGTAATACCTTCAGGAGATAACTCATGTGATAAAGTGATGGCAACATGATTTAAAGCAGCTTTGTTTTGACCATAAGGACCTGTTGAAATAGGGAAATTTTGGCTTAATGACCCAGCAAGACTTGAGATGATAACGACATGTTTAGTCTCTTTTTTCAACAAATATGGTTTAATAACTCTCAAAACTTCAAAAGGACCCAAAACATTAACAATATAATGATCAATCCAAATTTGTCTTTCTAACTCTAAAACCTTTTTAGCGGCACCTGGTGCAGAATAAGCAGCATTTGAGATATAAACATCAATACCATCTTTAGCAACTTCCTTGATTTGAGAATCAATAGAATCAATTGATTTTAAGTCAGAAACATCTAATTGAATAATGTGTAATTGACCTTTATATTTTGATTCCAATTCAAGTAATTCTGTGGCTTTTGATGGATTACGAGCTGTACCAATAACAATATTTGATGAATCAGCTTCAAGGTACTTCTTGACGATTTCGAAACCAATACCACGATTAACACCTGTAATGAAATATGTTTTACCCATGATGATTGTAATAGTTTAATTTGTGACTTATAGTAATATATTAAATTAAATTCTGTTAATTAGCTTAGCTGCACCTTATAGTACTTGTGGTTTTAAAGCTTCTTAATTACTCGATGAATATATTCTAGTCGAGTAATATACCAATTCTTGAGTTTATGGAAATTCATGTAGTATTTATAGTATATTCAAATCATCAATAATCTCGTAGTGTATTATTGATCAAAGGGCTCATTTATAAGCAACAGTAACAATAGTATTGGGTGGGTCTTTATTGTTCTTTATTGTCATGCTTATAAATATTACAAAGCAAATACCGGTAAATGCGATCACTCCGAGAACTGAGACATTTAATGCTGAAATTTTGCGAGAATTAACACCGCGTTAAATCCTATATATACCAAACACTATAAGCTTGAATAGCATCGCATCATCACGAAAGTCATCACGTCATATATACTTGAGAGTCGTGACTGGTATTAATGGCAATGATAAATCACGATGTAAACATGGATGAAGGGTACGTAGATATTTCACGAAAGGAAGAGGATTATTGAATACAGAAACATGTACAACTCATGATAGAATTTCAAGTCGATATCACTAGTACAATAAAATTTGAGCCTTCATGAACTTAACATATAAAAGATGAACCATATACATTATAGTTATTAAAGTCTGGAATGAATCTATTAAAATCTATAAATTAATTGAATAAATAGTAATATGATAATGTATCACATTTATGATGATCAACTTCACAAAAAGATCATAAAGATCAAGTTAAAAAACATTGAAACTGCTATATAAAAAAGTATATTCTTATTAACTTTCAGTATTGATGATTTACTTAAACTTTTATAATAACCATTCTTTGTATTTTGTACAAAATCCTTCACTGGATTATAAAAATGTAATTGTAATTCTTTTGGAATTTCACCATCCATTTCACTAATCAAAGGATTTTCATATGTAATTTCTTGAATTTCACTTTTATCTGTATAAATAGCTGGAGCCATCGATATTTGCATTGTATCCAAATCAAAAACAGTATAAACACTTCTTATAAATGAATCTCCCAAGACGGTATAATTTGAAGTTTGAGGCATAAATTTCAATAAGCAATATTCTTCATCAATATCTAAAGTTTTATAACTTGAAGGTAATGGACCCAAAAAATTTCTCAATGGTATATTGAATAATTTTGATGCAAATTTAAATGTAACTTGATCATCTTCATCTTGTAAAGAACATTTTACAGCATATTGATCACTTGATTTGATGCGCAAATGTTCAATATGGCTAATGAAAATATCAAATAATTCTTGTGGTAAATAATTCATTGTTGATCCTGTATCGACTAAAGCACCTGTATATTTACCTTTATAAGTTTCAGATTCTCCAAAAATTGAAGCTTTATCACCTTGTTCATCTTCTAATATAAGATCAGTCAATAAAATTTCAAATCTTTGAATTGGATGGCCCTTCTTAATCGTATTAATCATCTTCATGGTATATAATGGTGCTTTATACTTTGCGTGATCAATAGCACCAAATAAAATTTTACCACCTTTAGTTTCACGTTCATTCAACCAAAGACTAAATAGCTGTTTACCAATTAAACCATCTTCATTTAACTTCATTGGGAAGTTATTACGTACATAATGAACATCACCATCGATAACTTCAAACTCAGGAATTCCCAAACCTAAAATACCCATTGCTGAACTAGCATTATGCCCAATACCAAAGTCAAAATCAGTTAAATTATAATTATCACCAACTTTGAAAGATCCTTTAGTCCAAAATCCTTTGACGGTAGAATTATCAACATATTTAATTTCAAATGGGTCTTTTGATTCTTCGAAGCCTCCTGAATACGCAAGATCCAAAGTTCCATGCTTGAAACATGCCTTTGATTGTGATCCCATTGGTGCCTTAATATCCAATAATCCATTTGGAAAATGATACTCCAATTGTGCTTGACTTCCATTAACTAAATAACCCCAAACTTCTTCATCAACACAATATGGATTTTTAGAATCCATAACCCATGAAGTTGAGGATCCAGTATCTAGCAACAACTCGACAGATTGTGGTGGATATCCTATTTCTGCATCAATACCAACAAAGGATTCTCTATTATTTAAATCAACATCAATTGTACCTTCTTTCTCACCACGCTTGGTTAATGAGAGTTCTAGATGACCACCTTTAACATACTCCGAGAGTAATAATATGAGGGTTGTTATTTTAAGTAGTAATTTCATCGTGTTTGATACCCAGTTATAAGAAATATGATAATGAGAGCATCATGAATTGAGGAAATGATGAAGTTTTTATGAAATTCTATGAGCACTTTCTGATTTTGAGAATAAATTAAACTCTTGAGATTATTGATATTATATGAGAACTAGATTTCCAAATACAATTTTCCTCATCAAGTCCTTTAAAAGGAGCTAAAAAAAAAAAGCTCCGCAGTTATAGGACACACATGATATAATCATTATTCACCAAAGTAAACGCTTTAACAGCTCTTATAACCAAAACAGATAATACACATCCGATTAAAACTAGATAACCTTCAAATCCTTTATGAGAGCTTTTGAAATAAGAAAATTCGCGGTATTTTATGGTTAGAGCAGCACCATTTTAATTAGCAAGCGAAAAGAAGCCCAAAGCTACAAAGTCTCGAAGAAAGTGGCACAAATAGATTAAGTACTGAACAGTTAATCATAACAATAAAGAAGAATCGTATATTATGACTTGGCTAGGTGCAACTAATTCACAATCAGATGCTAAACATCAAGGCTTAAAACCGGAAGAACAATTGAGCACAGAAGAACTTAAGGGGAAGGTTGATGGGTTTGTGGCACAAAACCCACAATCTTTATATCTTATAGATGGGTGAGTTAGATTAATATAACATCAATTGATCATTTCTAACTTCAAACAAACAGTGATAAGAACACAAATAGAAGTGTGATTTGCAGACAGAATGATAACGGTGGTCAAACGTGAGTATCAATTTAAGATTGAAGATTAAATAATTGAACTAACAAATATTCAAAAACAGTTGTTTGAATATGGAAGTAAACGGGATCTCATTATTCAAAGCTATGCAAGGATTCGTAAGTATCATTGACAATATTCATCTCCAAAGATTTTAAAGATCTAACAAATTTCAAAGAACTATTTCTGCTCTTTACCTGCTAATGTTGATGCTACCCATTTTGAATGCAGAAAGATCAATTAGACCAGGGTGCACTCTGAAAAAAACAACACACTACAAAACATAACTTATATATAGAATTATATGAATATTTATTGACCAATCAATGTAGAATTTCCCATCATTTTGATACCAATATTGGTTTTTGATTAGTATGGTGCTGGCCGGACCATGTTTTTGTTCAAGGAAAAACAAAAAAGTTGATGAAATACTTGGACAGAAATTGATTAACCGCTGAATGGAAACACATACAACAACAAAGACAAGATCAAAAGAGCAAGATGGCCGAAGAGGAGGAAGTTAATACTTTAGAGAACAAGATATTCGAAACCTCAGAGCTCATAGAAGAATTTGTCAATGAGTACGTCGAGAAAGATGGCATTGATCCTCTTCAAAACACACTGATAAATTTTGATGGTTCTGAAATAAACAAGATCATTGATACTATTAAAGAAGATCCTAACAAGAAAATCATCTATGAATTATCTTCAAGAAGAGTTTTAGCTAATTTTTTGGGTCTGGGTACTTCAGAAAATGATTATAATTTGAAACAAATTGGTACTTTATTAGATTTTTCATTTTATATTAGAAAAATAGGTGAAAGTCTTTATGATATGCCATATGAATTGATTAAAGGCGTTCTCAAGGAAGGTCTGGTTGATTGGTTATTGAAGTTCTGGAGCTATTTTGACTTGAGAATTGAAGAAATTAAACGCACAAAAGATAATGAAACATTGGTATGTTTAAGACATCCTGGATCTTCTTTACTTATAACAATCAATTTAAGAATTAATCAACTTTATGGTAATCATGAACCATCAAGAGACATTCTTAAAGCTAAACTATTAGGATTTACTTCAAAAATCTTCCCTGCTTTTGACAAATCTTTAATTAATAAGAATTTTGAATTTAACCAAGCACATTTGAACACAGTTCAATATCAAAAAGTTTACAAAAATCACGCATTCAATGCCTTTTGGGAACTTCAAAGAGCCTTTGCAAACCCTAGTGGTATACTGGTATCAGATAGAACCATGTCAGAATTTATGAGTAATGCTTCTCTTGTTTATAAAAAAATTTATGATGCCGAAGAGAGAGCAAATGATGGCCCTTTGTTTGTGGTGGGAAAGAAAAATTATCCAACTAATACCGATAAGAATGATTACAATAATTCAATTGAAAACTATACAAAGGCACATTTAACTGAAGCTAAAAGACAAGAATTACAAGATTTTTATTCAAATAGAGATTATAATATGAGTTTTTTAGTTAATGAAAAAAAATTTAATGAACAAATTAGAAATGATCAAACTTTTAGAAAAACTTTCTTGATTCAATTAATAATAGTATTGGGTTTTTTTTCAAATTTAGATGATGCTAGAGTTCTGGATGATGCTAGAGCTTCATTCAATTTAAGAAAAGCTGCTAGAGTTGCTACACCATATCTTTATGACATACGTAATCTGAGAAGAGAGGCTAATAATATTTTCAATGCATTAGATAAAAGAGAATTTTTTGGTAATCAAATGTTGATCAGTTCTGAATTCACATTTTTTCAAGCTAAACTGAAACAATTTAGAAATGTTGAAACCATTTATAATGAAGTTCAATTAGATGATGAATTATATGATAAATTGAAACAAGAGGGTGCTTTCAAGAAAAGGTTTTGGGCTTTGTATGGTAATGCTCAAATAAGTTCACATTGGAAAATACCGACAGGTTTATCATTATTAGAAAAAGATACATCTAAAAACACTCGTGAAGAGAAGGATAAGAACTTGGAAATTTTAAGAGAAACAATCAAATCCACAGAAGATCAAGATTTGAAAGATGTTGTTTCATGGAAAGCTCTGAGATTATCAAGACAAAATCATCTGTTTGATTTCAAACATGTCAATGGATCCATAGGTTTAGAAGGTTTATATGATCATTCACTGAAAGAAGCTGATGACATTAAAAGAAAAGAAGAAACGGAAAAATTGGAAAAGGAAGAAGAAGAAGAATTAGCAGCATATGCAAAGAAAGTTCAAGATGAAAAAGCTGAACTAGAAAGAAAACGTAAAGCAAGTGAAGATGAGTTTGCAGAACAAAGTAAAAGAGCTAAACTGGACTCTGCCAATGGCTCAAAAGATGCAGAAGATCTGGACTATTGAATCTATAATAAATTACATCTAGTATATAGCACAGTATTAATATTTGATTATTGATAGGTGAATGAAATGTATTAATATTTACACATTAAAACATTGTAGCTCTTTAATAAAAGGTTAGAGTGCACCGCCAAAATATACCCAATTTTTTCCGGTTCACTATCTCTTCGGCTTTATCTAGATTTGCCATTTTGAGAGGTATTGATAAGAGCGAAAGATAAGGCCGTTAATAATTTCCGTTGGTTGAAAATTTGTATGTATTTTGATTTTGCAACTAAATTAATTTATTACTATGAATACCTGCTAATTATGTATATAGCAAAGATATAGTATTTATTATTTGTTTATGATACAAATATGTTTTTGTAAGAAATTATAACTATTTGAATACATAAAAACAGCTCACAACTATACAATATATTATTCGAATGGTTGAAAGTTCCACCACTATAAATATAGCACCAGCTGGGCCAATACCAGAGCCTGCTAATAATATACCTCATATTGATCAGACAGCCAAAGTTGATGAAGCCACCAAAGATTCTGACCAGCCAAAAAGAAGACCAAGAAGATCCTATAACTGTGGACCTTGCAAACGTCAAAAGATCAAATGTGATACCCAGATCCCATGTGCTGCTTGTAAAAGACATAACAGAATAGATCAATGTTTAGCATCACCACCAAATCCTCCTTCCCCTGATCATAAGAAAAAAATTAGAAGAATAAGTATTCAAGAATTATCTGAAAATTCAACACCAACAGTTAGATCACCAAATCAAAATATAGAGAATCATGTCACACCAAGGACTATAAAACTTCCCATGGGTTATTATACATCAAGTTTCAAAATCAATGATTCCACTGAGTCAAGTAATGGAGGATCTTTAACTCCAGATGAACAGATGATTGATCAATTTAGAGATTATAGAATTGGTAGTCCAAATAAACTATTACCAAAACCTTGGAAGAATAACCCACAAGAGTATAAAGAACATAGAAATGATGAAATGTTTTTAAAACCATTAAACAATAATCATGATGATATTTTCAACTTAATGAAGGATCAAATTGAATTTTTGAATGTAAAATTAGTTTCATTGGAGTCTAAAATTGAAAAAATGAATCATAAAAATACAATGAAATTACCTATTGATGATAATATTTTTAAATATCTAACAGCTATTCCACATAGAGTCTCTTTTGATGATTCTCAAGATCAAAAAAGTTTAAATATTAAATTTTTAGCACCTGATAAATTAGATGATTGGAATGATTTTATTCATTGTCTCCCCAATATGAAATTTATGACCAAAATGAAAAAATATTTCATTGAATATTTGAATTTCCCAATTGAACTGATAAGTACCAAAGTTTTAGACTCTTGCTTCAATGAACAAATTTTCAAAAAAACTAAAGATCAAGTAACAACACAAGACTGGGAATCTTTATCATTAGTTGCTATAATATGTTCTTTATCAATGTTAAATTATCCTAAGGCAGAGCTAGAGAATGTTTTGAAAATTGATCCAGATAATGTGATTTATATGTCGAATACTTTATTCCAAGTTTCTAAAAATTGCTTAAATATTTTGAAATATAGAGAATCACCAAAATTAATACATCTTCAAATCTTGATCCTTTGTCATAGATATCTTCAATATTTCAATAAGAATGATTTATTGATAATAACCAATTCTGAAATGGTTTCAATAGCTTATGCATTAGGATTACATGGCTTACCAACACCGCAAAATAGTTTAGAGACTGAAGTTTCACATAAAGTATGGTGGATTGTTTGCTTAAAAGATACATTAGTTTCATTAAAATTGAAAACACCACCATTTATAAGGATCGATTCATTGCCAAATACCAAATCTAGAGAATCTCATATATTGAAGGCATTTGTACCAGCAGAAATATCATCATTTGATTCAGTGTTAACACCACTTGTGAAAGTGACAAAATTATTGAATGAAATTCCACCAGCATTAGCGCATTCATCTGTTGAAAAAGCTGAAAGGTTGATAATGATAGATCGACAATTAACTAGTGTTCAAATTCAAGCAAATTTTAGATTTATGACATCTAATAGAGATCAAAAAAAATGTTTCCAAGAGTTTTATCTATATTCAGTTTGTATCTTTGGGAGATTGAAAGTCTATGAAGGTTTATATTTCACTTCACAAGAACCTTCTGGATGGATTGTTTTATCATCAATAATTGAAAGTTTTTTCAAAAAATATGCAGATCTAAGAAGAGTTTATGATATCAAAGAAGAACCTAGCTTCTTTTTAGGTATAGTGGAGCAATTAATCATGGTGTTAGTTCAAAGCTTGATCATTTCAATATTGAACCCAAATGTTCTTCCTGATAATTATAAAACCATCATTAATAGTTATTTTCAAATTGTTTATGATGATTTATACCATTTAAAAGGGGTAAATTTGAATCAATCTTTACCATTTTATGAGCAATCTTTTGTCACATTGAAGAAATTAAAATCAATAAGTGTTAATCAAAGCTTGGATTCTGCACAAAAAATGTTCAGTTCTGTTGCACCAAATAGTTCAACCACAAGCATCACTTCAGTACTTAATAAATCAAGAGTTTTTGACTCATCAGAATCAGAACTGGGGTTATTACCAACAAATGAGTTTTTCAGCCACTTTCTTTCCAGAATATATCAAAGCCAATATTACCATAATGCTGTTACAGAAAGAGATGGTTGGGACCTTTCAGAGTTTTTGGAGGAAGAACAGTTGATTTTCTTGAAATGTTTAGGAATTGTCTGAATATGAATGCTGTAATTACCATAACGGTGTAGATGGTTCATGATACACGTCGTGAGTCGTGACTCATGGCACAATTAACTGAACAATAAACTTCTGAGTTGTTTACACGTAGTCAGTTGATACTACAACTGATGATCTGGCACCAATTTCGAAGGCTGAAGCCATACAGATGGTATTTTTTAGCAGATGTACCACTCAATTTCCTTTTATTCTACGAAGCTCTAGATCTTCCAGACTAACGCGTGAGGAATGCACGGTGGGTACACTCTTTGCAGACATATCACATTTAGGTAAAAGTAGGGGAATCAACTAGAAAAAGTATAAAATTGGACAGTTTCTCTATTTGAAACGTTGCCTTTAATCACCCAATTGAACCCCTTAAGAATTTTTAATTAATCAAGAATCAATTCAATTGAATTCACTAAGCCAATTACAAATTATTTAATCAAATTTCATCAACAATGTCTTACAATAATGCTTCAAACGCTGCTATGAAAGCTGCCCAAGAATCAAACAAAGCTCAAAACAGAGCTTTAGAAGCTGCTATTCACGGTAATTCTGGTGCTCCAGGTAATAGTACTATGTATCAAACTATGATCAACAACAACCAAGCTAATAGAGACATGCAAGCTGCTATGATTGCAAACAACCAAGCTAAAAGAGGATACTAAGTGAATTCATTATCACATTATGGGTGTTTATCTGATTCATTTTATCATTTTCTAAGGAATTCGAGGAGTTTTGAGCTGTTTATTTAGTTAATTATCAATGAATTATTAGTTTATTTGTGTATGATTACTGATGTAGAAGTTTTGATGTGTTTTCGTATTAACCTATTTAGGTATACTCAAATGATTCTATATATTTTAAAATATTGAGTATGGCTCTACTTAGAAACAAACGCCTGCAGCTGATGATCTCATTATAAATAACACGTAGAGGACGTATATGATATCACAACAATTAAATGTGTTCTGTGCATGATTTGCCTTCCCAGCCTAATAATAAACACTACAATTTTACTTTTTTTCTATGGGAGAATAACTAATGATAATATGGAATATACATAAATCAATACAGTCTTCTAGGTTCTGAGGCAAGTGATTTCATATCTTTATAGATATCAAATTCAGAAATAGTTTTTGTATCAGGTTTTAGTTCTAATTCATCTTCAATTATCAAAACATTTTGTTCATTATGGAAAATTGAATTAAATTCAAATTTGATTAAATTATCAACTTGCTTCAACAATTCATCAGCTTCTTGTTGTTGAGTTTCTTTAACTAAAATTATGAAACGATCTTTAAAAGTTGACATCAATTGATATTCTTTGATTCCTTTTTTTCCAAATAAATTATCAATATGAATTAATGCTCTATGTAAATAACCAACTTTACAAGATTTTAAACCATCTCTAATTAAATAAGGACCAACATTTTGAAGGTTATCTTGCTTATTGATTAAAGATTCAATAAAATCATTATCAATCCTCAAAGAAACGAATTCGTAACCTTTAGGCGCAACTAATTGATCTTCAATTCCTTTACCAATATCAACAAAATTTTCTAGAATTAACTCGTGTAATGAATTTGAAGTTGGTTCAGAATTTTCAAAAACTGAAGGTATAATCCATGGAAGGAAAGTTGAAAGTTCATTTTGTTTAGAATTTTGAGATAATAAGAATGCATCATGACATTTATTGAATTCCCAAGAGGTGAAATTCAAATAATCATCAATTATATCTTGATATTCAGGTTTAACCGTGAGAATACCATTAATCCAAAGATCTCTATAATCTGTATGATATTGTTTACGATAGGTTGCATAATCTCTTAGAAATAAATCCTTTGAATTTAGAGTTATTGGGCTTGATTTATCAGTAACCAATGGATAATCTTTTAAAGTTGACTCATCAAGTTTAATTGAATAAGTAATATTTTGATTAAATCTACCTTTATTTCTCACAATTTTATTATCTTTAAGTGGATATTTTTTCAAGAATTTGATTCCTAATAAATCTGCAATTTCAGGTGATTCTAGAGTTGTATTTGGGAAACCATAATCTCTTCCAATGCCCCGAACTCTTTTATTAATATTTTCAAGTAATTTCTTACTCTTATCATCATTGGATTTATTATATTCATCCCATTGAGATTTATTAACAATCATTTTATGATTCCCTAACAATTTAACACCTGAAAGATATTTGTAAAAATGTGGATTTTGTAAACACTTCTTCCAAAAGTTTGTGAATACTTGATGCGTAGCATCCACATCTTTAGCACAATAACTCATTGCAGTTTGGAAATTCTCCACAACTTCTTCCTTTCTAGTATTCCCAAATAAATTTCTAAGTTCTTTACTTAATTGTCTTTTTGTAACAAGAAAATAAAGTTTTGAAAGCATATGAAATTTATTATTCTCTTTACCTAATAATGAATTTGAATTGTTTTTATGAAATAATGGATCACGGATCCTATCAAGTGTATTAGGCATTTTATTATCAATCTTGGTATTACAAAAATAATGTAATCCAACTATATCAAGATGACATGAATTTGAATTTTGGAAACTTGTATCATCATATTCATCTTTAACCATAACTCTATCAAAATGGTTATAGTGACCAACAATCACTTTATCTTTATTCTCAGGATTTAATGGTATTAAAGTACCAGGATTCAATTCTTCACCAACTAAATAAGGAGAAACCCAACCATACCAAGCTTTTGATGAAACAGCGGTAGCCAATGTTGGATAAGGAGAAATCTTATACAAAACTTCAGTATCAAATACAATAGCATCTTCTTCTGGGAAGGGGACTTTGATTGGTGGTTTACCTGTTTCATATTTATACCAACCTGATTGAAATTCCCATTTGGCTGGAGCTCTAGGTAGTTTCACGTTAGAAAATTCATCTGCTCTGGTAAAATATGCCTGTGATCTTCTTTTGGCTACTTCATTGACGTAAGTTGTAATGTTGTTCTCATTGATGTTGAGTTTCTGCTTTGCAGGTGCTTCTGAAGCCATTCTAGATAGCCTGAGACTGGTTCGAATGGTACTTATTTTGTATCCCAATAAGCTAGTCGCAGTTAGCTGTTTTAAATTGACTTACCCGCGAATAACTTCAACAATAACCTCCAAAATGCCCCCACAACTAACAACATGTATTCATGTATTGATCTTGAAGGTACAATTGAACACAATTACTACCAATAATCACATAAACCATCAAGATTGAAGCCATGAGTGAACCAAAGACATTTCACAAACCTCCAAAACCTCCACATCCATTTCCAAAGCTCCAGAGAACTTTACAGAGCATCCCTGTTTTACAAAGAGCCTGGACTTTCTATACAAGTTTACCAACAAAGACAAGATTATATATTGCAGGTTCAACATTTACCGTTGCATTGGGTTGTGACTATTGGTTAAAGACTAGCTATGCTGAAGAAAAACTACATGAAGAAGCTAAAAGATTGGTTAATGAAGAATCAAATGTTGCTAAACAAGCAGAGCCAAACGTAACTTAATTTTATTCATGTCAAATATTTATTATCAAATCATATAAACTATATTTATTTACCTTATTTATCAATTCAATTATTTATTAGATCATTCATCATGACATATAATATATCAGCAATTCATATTAGAACTTGGTGTTTGTACTTTACTGTGCGTATATCTAATCCTCGAATTGTCTATCTGTGTAGTTTCGAGCTAGTCTGGATACAATACCATTGCGTAATTGTTCGTTAAATATTTATACAATTGACGCTTTATATTAATACAAGTTAGACTAATCAATTAAAAATGAACGTAGCAAATTAAAAAAATACAATTTTATACAATGAAAGTAAATGACGAAACGAAATGATAAAATGTTTTTGGTATGTTAAAAAATAATAATAATCACAATTCTTTTTTGTGATCATAGCTCATAAAATTGTGTAAATTGAAGAACCATATTGTAATGAAATGGTTTATGTCATAATAACAGCATTAAAATTGTCCCTGAGGCAGTATAGTGTTTTTTTTCTTTTTTCTTTTTTTCTTTAAATATAATATAATATAATATTTCTAATGTTTATGGATTTTCAATTGAAGTTGCTAATGGTTCTTGATGATTAGATTCTGTAACAACTTGACCATTTGTACTACTAGAAACTGTACTCCATTCAGTATTAACTCTTTCAATAATTGATGGATCTTTTTTGACAACGGATTCAACTCTTGCAAATATATCTCTAGATGTAAGTTGTTCATCATTTTCAAATCCACAAGATGTATAAATTTCTAATAAATAAGATGGAACAATAGTCAACTCTTCATTATGAGCAATTAAATAATTAACAACTTCAATGGCCAGATAATAATTCTCACCTTCACCTTCCTTGAAAGCATCATAATATGTAGTTGCAACTCCTTTACTTCCATTTGGTTGACGTGCTACTTCAGCAGGTTGTGCAAACAAAATGTTTGGTGAAAGAACAGTGGCTAAATTATGAATATCCATCTTGGATCCACTTTCTTCATCAAGATGTGAAAATGATGATGTCCACATGAAAAAGAATAATAAAACTTCAGCAACATCTCTATGATCTTTAGGAAGTAATGAATAAGAGAGTTTAACAAGTGTTTGTTTCAAATTCTCATCTTTAACTTTTTGTGTCAAGATCCATAAGTCATATAACTTGAATGTCAATAGTGGATTTGGTAATTCTCTTAAGAATTTCTTTAATAAAGCAGATAATTGAACAGCGTTTTCATTTGTTAAATCTGGGACTCTTGATGGATTTGAATCAATTTCACTAGTAATTTCCTTTAGTCTCTTGATATTACCATTCTTTCTGAAAACACCTTCAACTGACATATCTTTTTGGTAAAGAGCTGTTAAAAGATCATCAATTAACATTGGAACACGAACTTTAGAAGGACCATTACTTTGAGATGAATCAACACCTGTCTTAGCTGTAAGATCTCTCAAGTCAGTACCAAAAACTTTTGTTAAAGTATTTTTCTTATCAGAATTACCAATTAATCTTAATTTTTCCCAAAAAGTTGGAGTTTTCTTTAGTTCAATAAACTTTGTAACATCAATATCTTTTGAGATACCTTGTTTTTCAAGAATTATACGAATTAAAACACCAGAAATATGAGTAATGACAAAACGTTCTTGATCACTCAACTGTGAATAATATTTCAAATCAGCATCTGGTAATTTATCACTTTGAACAGAGCGGTTAGCATTTGAAGTACCACGATTTAGTGAGTTATGTTTTGGTTTAATATCTCTATGAAGATCACCTTCTTGATGAGGATTATGAAACTTATATGTATTTGGTCTCAATTCTCTTGCATGTTCAGCGGCAACAATTCTAGGAATATCATCAAGAGTTAAAACTTTTTGATTATTGATGAAATTTGTAGCTCTATTAAAAGATTTTTTACTTAATGAAGGACCAACAGGTTCATCTTCTACTGTAATCTTTTGCTTGGTAACATTTTCTTCACTAGTCATGAATTGTTGATTCATTCCTGGTTTAGGTAAATCGTCTTTTGAACCTGATTCAGAGGTTTGAATGACAACAGATTTTCTAACATTTTCTCTTTCATTGTTAGTGATTCTAGTATTTTGTCTTGTTGATCTTAATCTCTTTATATCATTGAGAGTCTTCATATAATTCAATTCACTAGCCTGCTTATCAACCAAATTATAATCAGTTGAGGTGTCAATCTTTCTATGAGCCAATGCATAATCCATAACGGCTTTTGAACGAATGATAGCAATTTTCAGCAAGTATCCTAATTGAAGTAATTTCGATACTGATCTAAAACCTGTTCTTGCATCTGGATCTTCAGTTGCACATTGAGCACATAAAACCCAATTGGATCTAGAGTTGAAACAAGCATCAGCAACTCCACCAGCAGCCTGAAGATTTCTGTTACATTTTGTACAGTTCAGACACTCTATATGCCATCTTTTATCTTGATACTGAACACATGCACTTTCTATACTTTTGCGACAATGGAAACAAAGATCTGATGCATCTAAAGGTATATCCAAAGTATCTAGAGGATCTTCAGGAACATTTTCATGTGTTTTAATTTCTCTGATGAATCTGTCTAATGCATTTGTAGTATGGAAAGATTTATTGTATTGTAATGAATTGTATAACCCATATCGTATTAAAAGTTTCAAATAATGTGCCAAACCTGTTACAACAGATAGAATTAAATCTTGAGCATTACCTGGATCAGCAACACCTCTGCTTGCCTTTCTTAAAATTGCTAAATAAATCATGATTTTAGCTGAAAGGTTTCTTGGTTCCTTTTTCAAAGTTGTAAATGAAGCAGCTTTTAAAGTATCTTCTTGAGATAAAATTTTATCCAAATTCTTTTGATTGATCTCAGAGTTTATACCAAGACGATGTAGACTATCGATACTTCTAAATAAAGCATCAATTTTCAAAATTAATCTAACTGTTGCAATCAAACCTTTTCTTTGATCATGAATAGTTGCAAATTGAAGCATATCCGAAATACATGTTGCTGTATCTTCTTCAAATTTGAATAAAGTATTCCAAATCTCTGAAATTTTCTCACTTGCCTTTGTTTCCATCTCAACCAATTCTTCAGGAGTAGGATTAATATCTGGCAAATTTCGAAGATTTTCTTCAGTTGGTTCAATAACAGGTAACGAAGCAATACCAATACTATCAGGAGAAATTGAAACATTCCAACATTTATGAATCATATAACATTCAACATGCCATTTTTGATTTCTACCACCTCTGAATATTTCAACGTATTGTTTTAAAATTGCGAATTCACAACCTTCACAACGATCAATGAAAAATTTCGAGAAATGATAATGACAATAAATATTATTATCATGATTGAAAAAATCTTCATCTGTATCAAATTTTTTGGAACAAATTTTACAACAGAAATGTTCAGCATCATATTTTCTACCAAAAACAGTGAAATGTGTACCTTTTAAATAATTATCACAAACACAACATGTTAGACCTCTTCTTTTGTAAAAATGTTCTTCACATAATGGGATTTTTTCACCATCAGGTTTCTCAAATGGGAAATATTTTGATAAAATTGGAGTTCCACAATCTGCACAACCAAAACATTGTGTATGGTACCTTTTACCCAGAGCCTTCACAGATTTTGTCGTTATAGGTTTATGACAAGCAGCACATAACGAAACACCTCTTGTTGCAACAGTATTTGGCGATGATCCATTAGAAACCACGTTAGCACTATTTGGCGTGCTTGAATTGAATTTTGGTGGGATTCTTCTTTGATTTTGCTGCTGCTGCTGTTGCTGTTGTCGTTGTTGTGGAGGTAAATTGAATTGTGGAGGAGCATGAAGATATTTTTGAGTTTGATTCAAGTTATTTTGAGGAGGTGTATGTATGTGGTTATTATTTTGACTATTATTATGTGTATGTGTTTGGTTGCGAGCTGGCACTTGATCATTCTTGATGTTATATAAGTTTTGTACTTTTGCAGAACTTAGATCTTTTGAAACTTGTTGTGATGGTCTATTCAGAACCGGTTGAGGAGGCGTTGGTGAAGTATAACTTGGATCAGGCATAGGTGGAATAAGTTTCAAATAGTTTGTCTGTGATTTTTTTCTAGACGTTGTTCTTATTAGTGGTGATATGTTGTTTTGTATGGTTTGACTATCCGACCTTGTATGTATAGATTTAGGAGATGAAACACTATTATTTTGAGTCAAGTCTCTATAAGCATGATAATTACCACCTCTTGAACCACTTTGGGATGATGAGTTAGATAAATTATGCCTATGGAATGAAATTCTTTGGTTCTCTTTTGTTGATGATGGAAATGATCCTGGAACCACGAAATTTGACTGAGGTGTGCCGTTCCTAGCTAAATAGTCCTGGTCACTTGTCCATTTAGACATTCTTTTAAAATAAATTAGGTCTGTTGTATAATGTTATTCTCTTTTGAAATTATATGTGTATGAAAATGATAAATCAACAAATTATTTTTCCTTAGATATAACGATAAGTATTGAGTAAGTGTAACTGAATAAGGATGATGAGATAATTTTTGTGAATAATTAAATGAGTGAATGAAATTATCTATCAAATTATAATGAGTTCAAGTTATTGTATTTTGTAAGACCTTGTTTGGCCGATGAATCATGAGTATTTTTGGTTATTAAAACAGTGAACCACAAAATAACAAATAAAACGCACGCGCACAGGAAACTTCAAAAAATAGCGTTTAACTGGCAGGTGATGATGATAATGACTGCAAACAAAAGTCACTCAACTATTTGTAGTATTCTTGATATATTTTATCCTTGTCTTTCTTTGATTCCTATTTGGTGTTTTGCTTTTTAGTGCTTTTTCTTTGTAGCACCAGCCGCTAGGATGGACAAAAAAACACAATAGATTTTGATGTTTTGTTTTCAGATCTGGTACAGGATTTTTAACTTATGGAAAAAAACAAGCCTTTCTTTCACTGTTCCCGATAGCACAAGTTGCCTGTAGTGGTTGATGTAGTTTCTGGTGGCCTAGAAGACGCCTCTAGTCTTTCTTTTGATGGTTTCTTGACCTGTTGAGCTGAGGTTTTCTTTCAAGAGTAATGTTTTGGGCAGTCAGTTGAAGCACTTTTGAGCTGTGTTTATTTTTACCAGATCTTGGACGAGCGAGAATGTTTGGATGTGATCGTTTTTGGTTGGGCAGATTTCCTGGGAAACGATTTCCGCGAACTTACACATTCTCAGTTGAGCCAAAACTTTTCACGGGCCATAAAAGCTAGTGAAGATCACTTGAAGTAGAGCAACGCTAGCCAGAGAGAAAGCAGTCACAGTCACAGTGTTGAAGTCTACAATTACCAGGTGTTGAACTATGCTATCATTTAAAATTATACCGTCAAGAGCTGTCTACAGACAATGTCAATCAAAATCCATTCAAAGAGTGTTGTTGTCAACTTCAATCTCTAGATCAAATAATGCTCAAGAAATAGAGAAAGTTAAGCATCTATTGGAGACTAAAATGTCAGAAATTAGAGATGCAGAAGCTAAAAGGCAAATTGAAGACCAAGTAAGTTTGTTTTGTTATATTTCCAAAATAACTTTGAAAATTTAAGAGTTTGTGACTAATATAATTGATTTTAAGAAACCAAAATTATCAGATTTTTCAAGGCCAATTGTTTCTACACTTATAATTGGTTCAATTGCATATTTGAGTTTCCATTGGGTTTGGTGGTATTTGGAAAAAGAAGAACGTGAAAAAGAACTGAAAAGTAAGTAATTCAAAATATCAGTTTATTTTAAAATGTTAACTATATTAACAACTATTGTCAGTCACATTAGCAGCTAAAGAGGAAGAATTAGCTAAAATCGCACCAGTTAGAGACTCTACAGAAGTAAACAAAAAATCATGGTTTAGATTCTGGAGATAATTAAGGTAATAGCTAAATCATTAGATTAAAGAATTAATTTACTTATAATGGATGTTATTATTGGCTCCAGGTCAAAATATCCAAGTCATAAGGTTGTCTGAGAAAATGTTTGGAATTGAAAGGAGGTGATACTCTCCTAACAAGAGGTCAAAAGTTAAAATTAGCTTGTCTTGGAATAAAAGATTCAACAGAAGAGAAACGCTACACAAAGTTCAATTTGTACATACTAGATGGCCATAGCTTTATATATTTATTTACTTGTATATATACCTTTAAAACAGCATCCAGGGGTTATCAAACAGACACTTTAAACCTTAGGCATTGTTACGTAGTTCATTTACTGTTGAAACTAATTTAGCTCCATAAAAGAAGACTAAATTATTATGTAAGTTATTTGAATTACGAGGGCAGAGAGATCAGGTGACTGAAAACGTGACTAGTCGGAAATGGTCTTTACCGGACTCGATTTTAGTTTACTCATCAAAGCAAAGGTTATATATTGTTCTTAAGATTTCTTTTACTATTAACTTACATGATCCAGAATTTGAAGTTAATTATAATTCAATGGTTTATTGTTCATAAAAACTTGAATCAAAATGCTAAGATTTATTAATAAGAAAAATTTCAATTTATTAGCAAACCAAAAAAGACTTGCTTCAACTCAAAGATCAACCTTTCCAACGGTGATTGGGATTGATCTTGGTACAACCAATTCAGCTGTAGCTGTTATGGAAGGTCAACAAGCTAAAATTTTGGAAAATGATGAAGGTCAAAGAACAACTCCATCAGTTGTGGCTTTTAAAGAAGACGGTGAAAGATTAGTTGGTAATGTTGCAAAGAGACAAGCTATTTTAAATACTCATAATACATTTTATGCAACAAAGAGATTAATTGGTAGAAGATTTAATGATGATGAAACAAAAATTGATTTTAATAATTTCCCTTATAAAATTGTCGAAAATGATAATGGTGATGCTTGGGTTGAAAGTTTTGGTAATAAATATTCTCCATCACAAATTGGTGGATTTATTTTACAAAAAATGAAAGAAACAGCAGAAGCTCATTTACCTCAAAAAGTCAAAAATGCAGTTGTTACAGTACCAGCTTATTTCAACGATTCTCAAAGACAAGCTACAAAAGATGCTGGTCAAATTGCCGGGTTGAATGTTTTAAGAGTTATTAATGAACCAACAGCTGCAGCATTAGCTTATGGGTTAGATAAGACAAATGATGGTATTGTTGCAGTTTTTGATCTTGGTGGTGGTACTTTTGATATTTCCATCTTGGATATTGAAGATGGTGTTTTTGAAGTTAGATCAACAAATGGTGATACTCATTTAGGTGGTGAAGATTTTGATATTTTATTAGTACAATTCATCTTGAATGATTTTGAAAAGAAAACAGGCATTGATTTATCAAATGAACCTGAAAAAGTCCAAAGAATTAGAGAAGCAGCCGAGAGAGCAAAGATTGATCTATCACACGTTAAGGAAACCACTATAGATTTACCATTTATCAAAGATAAACATCATATTTCAATTAAATTAACAGAAGATGAACTAGATACAATGAGTTTACATTTAATCCAAAGAACCATTGATCCTGTTAAGAGAGCTTTAAAAGATGCTGATTTGAAAAAGAAAGATATTGATGAAGTTATTCTTGTTGGAGGTATGACAAGAATGCCAAAGATCAGAACAACAGTAGAGGAAATTTTTGGTAAAAAACCAAGCACTGCAGTTAATCCAGATGAAGCAGTTGCATTAGGTGCTGCTATTCAAGGTGGTGTCTTAAGTGGTGCTATTAAAGATGTTTTATTATTGGATGTCACACCTTTAACTTTAGGTATTGAAACCTATGGTGGTATTTTTTCACCATTAGTTAGTAGAAATACAACAGTTCCAGTTAAAAAGACAGAAATTTATTCTACAGGTGTTGATAATCAAACAGGGGTTGATATTAAAGTTTATCAAGGTGAAAGAGGTTTAGTTCAAGATAATAAATTAGTTGGTAATTTCAAATTAAGTGGAATTCCACCTTTACCAAAAGGTGAACCACAAGTTGAAGTTTCATTTGATATTGATGCTGACGGTATCATCAATGTTTCTGCACGTGAAAAGACTTCTGGTAAACAAACAAGTATAACAGTCATTGGTAATTCAGGATTAACAGAAGAAGAAATAAAGAGAATTATTGATGAAGGTGAACAAAATAAAGGTGTTGATCAAATTAAAAAGCAAAAAGTCCAAGCTGCAACAAATGCAGAACTAGTGATAAATGATACAGAAACAGCAATTAGCTTAGCATTTGGTGATGTTTTAAAAGCTGACCCAGAATATTCAGATTTGGAAAAACATATAAATGCAACAAAAGAAGCAATTGAATTAGGTAAATCTGGTGGTGATATTCAAGTTGCAGATATAAAGAATAGATCACAAGCATTGCAAGAATTTTCCATCAAAATATTCCAAAGAGTTGCAAGAAAACAAAATGAACTTAGAAAGCAAAAAGATGCTGAAAAAAAGTAATGAAATGATTTAATGACCAACGCATAATGATCTATGTATTGACATACATGATTATAACCTGTACAAACTGTATATATATATATATATCCATATGAATTGATTTGTCTATCAACGTCTTTTGTAATCTCTCGGTACGAATTCACTACCAATTATAGGTTCTAATGCTAATGGTAACCATTTGGATGCATCACCAATAAATCCCCAATTATGTTCTTTTTTAATTTGATCTATATTATCAATTTCAGTATTGAATACTGCAACTTTACCACCATTTTTCTGAACCCTTTCAACATACCCCATAGCAGGCCAAACGTTACCACTTGTACCAATGACCAAAACCAAATCAACTTTATTATTCATTAAAAATTCATCAGCTTGATCAACAGCTTTTAACGGTAATGATTCACCAAACCAAACAACTCCAGGTCTCAAAAGACCTTCTTTGCATTCAGGACAATGTGGTAAATCCTTTTCTGGAATTGAATCAACAGGTTTAATATCTGGTGATGAAGTTGCTGAAACCGTAGAAGTATGACTTCTAGTTCTTTGAAGAGCATCATCAGGTTTAGCCATCTTCTTTTGTTGTTCAGCAGAAGTATCCTGTGCTTTACGTTTCTTACCAATTTCATCTTCAGAACCAGCCAATGCAGGTGTTAATGGATGTTCTCTATTGTATTTATCAACATAATTACAAAAAAAATTGGTACATTTCAATGTAAATAAACTTCCATGTAGTTCCAACAAATGATCAGAAGAATGTCCAGCTCTGGTTGATAAACCATCAACATTTTGCGTCAAAGTTAAAAAATTCCCTCCTTTGCGATTACTCAACTCTGCTAAAGCATAATGTCCTTTATTTGGTTTTGCCTTCAAGGCATTAAACCTTCTAGCACTATAAAACTGCCAAACTAGACCAGGATCAAAGTGGAAAGCATCAGGAGTAGCTAAATCTATAGCTGAGAAATTTCTCCAAAGACCACCAGCACCTCTAAAAGTTGAAAGACCAGACGAGGCTGATAAACCTGCTCCGACAACAGCTAGTATATTGTTTGCTTGTAATAGATAGTCATGGAACGATTCGAGATTAGAGGAATCTGTCTTATTTAGACCTTGTTCCATAGTTGTGTAGCACTTCTGATAATTTGGCCTCCAAACATAATTTTCCACCCTCAGAGAAGCGAAACGTCTCCACACAATCTTGGGCACTTAATTGATGAACTTAGGAACTTGTTGCAAATATTATCTAGTCTTTGTTGATTTTGTTTGTTGCAATTTTGGTGATGGACAACGAAAAAAACGAAAAATTCGCGGTTGAAAATGAAAATGAAAATCAAAAAATCGTCAAAATTTGAACACCAAAAAAAGTCGTGAAGCCCAAAACAAAACATAAATAAACACACTGGGAAACGGAAAGAACGAGATCGAAGACAATCAAAAAGACCACAGAATGTCCACTTCCAACCTTGCAAAGAGAATCAAGAGTTCGTTTGACGCGGTATATGACCTGAAAGATGATGGTGCTGATGGCACACAGGAACCAATTGCTCCTATCTTCAATACCATGCCTGATAAAAAGTTATATCCAGATTATTACGATGTCATTACTACACCAACTTCATTACAATCCATCAAAAAGAGATTAAACATATATCACACACCAAATGACTTCATCAAAGATCTAGCACAAATTGTCTGGAATGCGAAAACTTATAATGAACAAGGATCATTTGTTTATAGATATGCTCAAAAATTGGATAGTTTTATTTTATCAAATGTGATACCGAAATTTAGAAAATTAGGTTATGAAGTTTCTTATCCAAACTTGGGTCCAAATGATTTATCAGAGTTAGCAAGTGGTGCCCAAACTAGTACAGCAAATACACCACAACCAAACGCGGTTTTACAAAATAATAATGCTGAAGAAGATGATCATAGTGATGATGATCAAGCCAATTCAAGATTGAGAAAAGCTTCATCAACTACTGCTATTCAAAGTACAAAAGAACAATCATATAAGAGAGGTAGACCACCAGTTATTGATAAACCTTTTGAACAAAGAATCAAAAATGTCTTGAGATCATTAAGAAGAGATAGAGATCAACAAGGCCAATTATTATGTCACGCTTTTGAAAAATTACCAGATATTAGAGAAAATCCACAATTTTATCAACTTATAACAGATCCTATCTCATTGGATGAAATTAAAAAGAAAATTAAACAAAGAAAGTATAAAGATGTTGAAACTTATGTTCAAGATATGAAATTAATGTTTAATAATGGTAGAACTTATTATAAAGGATGGGATGAAAATATGGTTACAGTGACAAATACTTTGGAAACAAAATTTGGTGAACATCTTGAAATTGAATTGAAAAGACCAGATAGTGATTTTGTTGCAGCAGATTCTTTAAAAATTCCATTGGATCAATTAGAATTACATGGATCACTCTTCAAAATTGGTGATTGGATCTTGATCAATAATCCAAATGATCCTTCAAAACCAATTGTTTCACAATTATTCAGAATTTGGCAAACTCAAGATGGTCAACGTTGGATTAATGTTTGTTGGTATTTAAGACCCGAACAAACCGTTCATAGAGTTGATCGTTTATTTTATGAAAATGAAGTTTTTAAATCTGGTCAATATAGAGATCATTTAGCTGATGAAATCATTGGTAAATGTTATGTTGCTTACTTCACACGTTACCAAAGAGGTGATCCAGCTTTCAATTATGAAGGTCCATTATTCATTTGTGAATTTAGATATAACGATAATGATAAAAATTTCAATAAAATTAGAACTTGGAAAGCTTGTTTACCTGATGAAGTTCGTGATCATGAAGATCCAATAACACCATTACCAAACTTGCGTCGTTTTAAAAAATACGAATCACCTTTGAAACATTTATTACCACCAAATGCTACCATGGATATGCCAATTCCTGAACCAACAATTGGTGCTCCAAATGCTCCACCTTTACATGGTGCTGTTTATTTAAGAGATATTGATGAAGCTGATGATTTAGGTCAATATGCTTCAAGTCGTATATGTCCAAGATATATCATAAGACCAAATGATCCACCACCAACAGATTCACCATCAAACAATACAACTTCGATTGTTAATTATACAAGAAATACAGTACCAGTTCCACAACAACAACCTATTCTTCATCATGCTGTTCCAAATTATGTTCCAACCTCTACCGCGCCTTCGTTTACAATTCCAATATCGATCGAGAATGATACAAAGGGGCTGATCAGAATGGATGTGTCCAATAACAGAAGAAGATTGGCAGGAATTTCCAATGATGTAAACACAGAAGGTCCTTTGATCTGGTTTAGAGCACCAGGTGTAAACATTGGGAATAGATATAAACAACAAATTCCAGTTAGGGGTATAAATAGAATTGTTAACAAGAAACCTATTAAAAGACCTCATAATGAAATAGATGGTGAAGAGGAAGAACAAGATTTAGATAATGGTGATGAAGATTCTCAATTTAGTCACAGTTTAGGTCACAGTGCTAAATATTTGGCTTTTAAATTACAAAAACAACAGAACAAACAAAGTGTATAAATAGATAAGTAAATGAATTAGTTAATGATTACTAATGAGAATCGTAAAACAAATAAACTACTGAAATCTTTAAACGAACGACCTAATTAAACCCTTTATTTTCCCCGTTGATATACATATACATTTTAATGTTGTTACATATTGATCTTAGACTGTCCAGACAGAGTAATTAATGATCTATAAAAAATTTGTTTGGTATAATAACTAAAATATAAAAAAAAAACTATAACTTTCCCTATGATATAAAAAAAATATAATAACAATCAGATGATAATCTAGTTATCTGAGAAGATACCCCAGTATTGTTCAACACCGTATGAACCAGCTTGTTTCCAGAAATCATCGAAAACAGTGAATAAAATAACTTGATCACCACATGAATCACCAATACTTTGTAAAGCTTCTTTTTGATTATCTTTTGATGGGACGGCCTTTTGGAAAGTTTGACCTTGTGTTGGCCAACCAGTTTCAGTGATTAAAACATCTTTACCACCACATTGAGATTTAATGTTTGAGATTTGTTTCTTTAAGAAATCACCAGATCCTGATGGTTCAACGTTACCATCCCAGAATGGATGAGAGTTAACAGCAATGAAATCTGAGGCATCACATAATTCATCATTGTTTTGAACAGCAACTAAAGTATCAACTGAAACAACTTTACCAGTGTAACCAGCAGATTTTAAAGCAGATTTAGCTTCATCAACGAGACTTTTAATTTCAGAAGCTTGTTTTTCACCAGAGTTGACTAATTCGTTACCGATGGAAACAGCATAGATATCATCCCAGTTGTTGTTTAAAGCTTCAGCTAATTGTTTAACACCATCTGAGATAGCATCAACGTGATAGATACCAGCAAAGATTTTTTGGTTTGAGCCTTTAGCAGACATAACACTTTCAACACCTGAACAATCAACATCATATAAACGAATGATATCAAAACCTGATAATTTCTTAACATCAGATTTGATAGTTGAAGCATCTTTACATGAACCAGAGTTGGTGTATGGTGAATAAGTGATACCTTTAGCACCAAAGTTTTCACCTGATGAGCCTGAACCACCAGATGATGATGGGGATGATGATGATGATGAGGTAGATGAGGATTCTGAACCACCTTGAGTTGATGATGGAGAAGCTGAAGATGAAGCACCACCTTGGGTTGATGATAAAGTAGTGGTTTGACTGTTACCACCAAAGAATGAGCTGACAGCAGATTTAGCATCTGAAACGATGTTTTTGTTGACAGCAGCACCTGATTCTTCACCTTGAGGTTGAGCAGATGATTGTGAAGCTGGAGCTTGAGAAGTAGCTTGGGAAGTAGCTTGTGATTGTTGAGCATCACCAGCACCAACAGTAGCAGTAACACCTTGGGTCACAATTTGGGTTTGATATTGAGTGACGATTTGAACAGCAGCATCACGTTTGTGTTCATGATGTTGATGAGCTGGTTGAGCAACAACTAATGAAGCTAAAGTGGATAATAAAACAGTTGATAATTTCATTGTTGAATAATTAAGTCTAAAAGCACTTTCAGTTGGGTATAATTGATTAAATTATCGAATATGTTGTATTTGTTTATATTATGAAATGAAAGATCAAGGTAAAGGAATGTTCAAGATCTTTGTATAAAATAAACCAGTTGGGTATCAATGATAGTATGAAGTGTTTTAAGCTTGTGTAAGGAGTGACTTGAAACTATTGTAACTTGTTTGGAAAACCAAAGTGTAAGTAATAACAGTGATTAAGGAAACTGGGATCTATCAAGTATTTATAGGGAATATCAATTTATGAGAATCATTTGCGATTTATTTTTTCAGAACAGTATTTAATAGTTATTTTTTGATTCTAGACAATCTACTCGTTAAGGTACGACTTGGGTAATTATGGAAGTTGACTTGAGTTTTCTAAAGCCTGATTAACGGTTTCTGCACAAATCTTACGCACACGGTTTATATGATTTGATTTTTTCATAGAGAGAGACGCGCCTAAAAACATTTCAAAACATGGAACTGCAGACTAATGCAGATTTCGGAATTTCCTTGAAAGGAAAAAGCTTCAAATTCTCTTTTGGTTTCATTTTGATACAAATTCCAGTCAGAAGAGAAACAGCACCAAGCAGACACACACAGAAGGCCCAGTGGAGCCCAAGGGGAGCTCAAAGGGACACCCCAGGCCCAGGCTTCACGTACCTGGAAGACGTGCTTCACCTGTTGGAATGCGATGTGTCATGGGAAAGTACTCGTCACAAGTCAAGAACTACGCGTGATGTTTACCATTGCTAAGCTATACTTTCCCTCTAAGGATCAGGATCTTTGTGTTTTGTTTACGTTTCCTGATTGTTCAGTGTTTGTTTACTCTTTGTTTCCCTCTGTTTACGCTCACCTTCCTGAACAAGTTAACTGGAGTTGAAATTAGTCGGCTATGAATTGATGAACCTTCCAAATTTTGCAAACGCGATTGTAAACAAACTCCTTAGGAAAATCAAATACTTCAACTTGAGGTCGCGAAGATTTTCTCTGTAGAACGCATATCGAATCTGTTAAGCATGTACTGTGACATGTGTTTAGCGTGGGCTTCTTGCCAGGCTGCTTGCCATTTAGGCAGGAGAGTTCAGTGTAAGCTTGGCTTGTAACTTGTAAGTTGTAGGTTGAAGTTATTTCCTAGAATTTGAGAATATACATCAACCATCGATGCAAGAGCTAAAACGGCTGTGGAATGTTGATAAGCGCCTCTGGGGATGTTGTGCCAAATAACTCGAACATTCTTTAAAATGGATATCAACTTGTGTAAAGTTTGAATATGTAACGATAAGAGGTATAAATTTGCTAGGTTTCGCTCAATGTATGGATTCTAGACGAAACTTATGGATTCAATTGATCTGATCAGTTATCTAACATCAAATATAGCACGCAGTAAATGACAAGGTACATATCAAGTTTAATGAATATGGCCATGAAGTCATTACATATAACTATATAATATTTTAACCCTCATATCAATTAAGAATGTAGTACACAGTACTACCTCAGTGAGACATTGAGGAATTATTTCCATGTATAATACATCAACAGCCCCTAATTTAACACTGATGTTAAGTGATTCATCTGAACGTATAATATAACATCAGTGAAAACTATATCATGAATGTAATCATCGACGTTGTAATGTTGTAATATGATCGAGAATCAGAAGGTGCAATTAATCTAGATCAATGATAATTTCCTAAATAGTTAATAAGTTGGTAATATAACAGGCTTCAACTGTTTGACTTATTCAAATCAACTTGGCTTTTATTCAGGAGTACTTTCGAAAGCATACTAGGAGGTCTTATATTTAAACGCGATGTAAAGTATGGTGTACCTGAGTGATCCAAAAGTTAGGAGTTTACGCGATTAAGTAGGACACCAAGGTTCGATGGCTCGATTCTAGATCATGGATCAATTATATATGACTTTATTAAAGACATGGTCCAATAATAATCCGGGATCAAGTGTGTTCGATGTACTTTGGTGTATGAAAAGTTTTGTTAAATTACATAGGGTTGAGTATTTGACAAAAGTTTTCCAGTATCTTCGTGAACTATGATGTATTCAGTGCAAAAATCAATTACTTTACCCAATTAGGAAGGAATCCGGATCTGGTATATAGGTTACTTTATAATGATATACATAAGACGAAAAACTTTGTGTGTTGAACAAACTTAGCCTTGTAAGTTGTAACTTGTAAGTTGTAAAATTGTAAATTGTAATGAATAATTAATGGTTCATGATTCATTGGTCAAGAAAAGTTTATGGGATATATTGAGCTATTCAATAGATCCACTGCTCAAGAGTTTATTGGTATATTCTGGCATAACTCGACAGATGCTACAAAGATATTGATTCTGGAATCACAGATATTGATACGATGCTCTAGTTTTAGTTCGTTACTCCTGTTGATTAATCGGTGTATCATGATAGCGCTAAACGCATTTAGCTTCAAATAATGGCAATGCTCCACC